GCTGTGCAGTGCAGCCGGCATCACACCGTCACCTTCTCTGTTAGTTTGGGGTCATATTTGCCATCATACACTCGCGTCGCCGCGGGTATACACATCAGGAACCGTTCAGTGTTCATGAGTGTTCACAAAGTGGACGTGCCGCCGCCTTCTGAGAGGAAAGCGGGAGGACGGTGCAGACGGTGGTGCCACCCAACGGACGCGCCCCTGACGCAGCTATTTCTCATACTAACGTTATTGGCACGACAATAATTTCTAACTGCAGCCTGGACGTGGAAACACTTCTGTGTGCCTTGTATTTCGTATATTCGAGAGATTTGACAGTACTGCATTTGTTTGTTTTATCTTGGTTGAGCCAAGACGAGAACATGTTTTCGCGTAAAATTTCTTGAAATCCTGGCAGAGTGTGGTTCGTGTGCGTTGTTTTCATCGTGAGCGAAATGCTACAAGGTTCTTCAGTCCATGTTTCTGTGAGGTTATGGCTTGTTGTCCTATCCAAATCAAGAAGGATTATTTTGAAGTGATGCATCATGAGACAAAGTTCAAGGTATGAAAACCAGTGGTCCTTTCAAAATCAAAATAGTGCTTGGGATGAGAGCTCAGTGGTCAGTGGTCATAACCGTCACTAATGACAAGATTTGCATAGTAAACTTTAACGTGTCTTTGTCTTCTCGTAAATGTTTCAATAATTGTTGCTGACTCCTTGCAATGTATTGCTCATTGCACCGTAATATTGATTATGTCTCAATTCTGAGAAATTATGCGTGGTAATATAATTGTGATGGATGACTACTCTGAGGTCTCACTCCCATGTCAAATTACAATATTTACAAAGTCTTAGCAGTAATTTCCGTTCAACGCTGACTTAAGTTGCGACAAAAAAGTCCTCAGATCAATCACTTTCTTTTCTACATGTTGACTAGGCACATTTCTTTTACAAAGCCCCTCCTACTAATGCGTAAGCTTATGCACAATTTTGTGCACATTTGTTCCCCGTTTGTGTATAATAGTGCTGACAAGCTTTTACAACTGCAGCACAAAATGACGCACATTTTTTCCCAAGGAAAAAATAAATAAAAAAATGAGAAGGGTTTAGATTGAGCCGAGCGGGAGCAGGATGCAGCAGGCAGCAGAGAGTGAGAAGGAGGTCATACCTGTTGGACGCGGTGCGACACTGCATGCAGAGTGAGACAGATGGGATCAGATCCACAAGTGGCAGTGGGGAGCGCCCAGGCGGGGCGGGGCGGGGTGGGGTGGCCCACTCCATTGTGAGAAGGGCGCCCTTTGTCAGCCCGCCCCTTTCTCTTTATGCATTCTCTGCACACTCGCGGCGCCCGCGGTCATAGCGCCCGCACTCCGGGCCCCTCCTCCTCCTCCTCGTCCGAGTGATGTTACC